TTCAGCTGATTTCAGCTGAGGGAACTACTGGAGCAAAAGTAGACATTGTGAATCAGGTGAACAGTAAGTACAGTGTACAATATAACTGATATATAGTGATTCATGGAAGAGTATAATTAGGAGGAAAGTGGGGAAGGTAGATTTGGTGCCTGATTGTTGCCGGATGTGAGCTATAAACTATTACTCAAAGTCATGCCCCTTATGGCTAAGACAATGACTAGTATGTGGCATGTATTTATATATTACCTGAACACTGGAATGCTTGAATAAATTTAAGGAAGGAGAGCTCTCTCTTACAACATATGTGGAGTAAACAACATTCAGCATAGCATAGAATGAATAAGTAGCTGATAAGTAGCTCTGGGAGGCTGTTAGAAAGGTTGAAGATAACTCTTTACTGAATGGGGTACTATCCAACCAAAAGACTGTACTGTTCAGGAGACTAAGTTACTTGAGAACATAGCTTGTCTTACCCTTGTTTATAGGTCCAGCATAGTGGCTGATGCCTACCGAGGCTCAGTAGATATTTGAGCAGTGACTCAGCACTCAATCTTGTAAAAATATGGTTTTGCGTAATGTTTTCATTTCACAATAACTTTCAGAGAAAAGGACGTCTTCATGATTATAGAGGATGATTCCTCTTTTTTACTTTACAAAACAGGCAAATAACCACTTCCTTTTACAGATAGGCAGCAATTTATTCATAAATTGTTATATGTCTTGAAGAAGAACATAAAGTAGGAGGAGAGATTCTTAATTAGTAGGTCAGGAATAGTATTATAGGAGTTTTGGAAATTTATCTTAAGATCTGCCTCAAATATGTAATGTAGGAACTGTGAATAGATGTAATAAACATCTCAAATTATAAAATCCTGAAAATGTAAGTATTTTACTTACTGGATGGATATTGTGTTTTCTTTTGTTTCCACATAAGCGAGGCATTATTAGGAATAAAGAGTTACTAATCCCTTCCTTGCTCATTTTCTCTGGCAGTTTATTGGGTTATTTATAGAACTGTTTTCTCCTAAGGCTATGTGTAACCTTAGGACCCTGTCCCCAGCAATGTGAACTCCCTCCTCACTTTTCTTGGCTTCTGATTCCCCATGCTACACTTTCCCACTGTGTCGATTACCTCTTTATCCTGCTTTGCTTTTGGTATTAATGCTCCATGCCAGATTGTCTCTTAGCTTGATATATACTCTTCCTTAGCTGAATCTTCTGCCCATTTTGTGCAATACTTTCCTCCTCCCCCCACCCCAATCATAGTACTTTAAGCCACAGAACTCATTTGAACTCATATGATTTCTTTCCTCCAGGGCCCCTTTTTTTGTCCTAGGATTGAATCCAAGATCCCATATTGCATTTAGTTCTTTTCTTGTCTTATATGACCTTGACATTTTTGATGAGTATTGGATTTTTTATACAGTGTCTCTCAATTTGGATTATCTGATGTTTTCGCATGATCAGATTGAGAGTATATATTTTTGGAAAGAATTTCTCAAAAGTGATGTTATTTCAATCTCCATAGATAATATTGGTGTGGTATGTGACATTAATAAATTTATTACTGGTGATGTTAACCTTGATCACTGGATTAAGGCAATTTCTCCTTGATTTCTCCCATCACAAAATTGCTGCTTTTCTTTTTGGAATTAAAAAATATCTTGCATGAGATATTCTGAGACTATGTTAATATCCTATGTCTCCTCAAACTTTTTCCCATTGATTTTTAGCTATGAATGTTACATTGGTGAATCTTACCTGCAATAATTATTGCTGTGGTAATTTTTTAATGGTATTTTTAAAATCTCATTTCTTTTATAATTATTAATTGTAATTTTTTTAATTGTAATTTTTCTGAAGGAAGAGATGTGCCTTCATCCCCATTTATTTACTTATTCACTTATTTATATCATTAATGGACACTTAGATATTTATTTTCTGCTATGGATTAAAATCCAGTACTATCATTTATTCTGTGCCTCAAATTCTTAAGGCTTGGGTTCACTTCTGTTTTCTTTTGAAACATCCCCATTCTTTTTCAAGCACTTTCTATATCTTTGTATGTAGCTACCTAAAACCATAAATTTATAATTCATTCTAGCTTCCTTTCTTTCCTTCTTTGTAATTTTTCTCAGACAATGAGAAATCTGGTTCTCATTACTTAATGATATATTCACTGGTTTGTAGTTACAAAATTGCCAACCTGTAAGCTTATGAAAACTAGGTTTACTAACTTGAGCATAGTATTTGTATGCAGTTCTTATATATTTAGCCTTTGTGATATCTAAAAGTTTTCTAAAAGTTTTCTAAAAGTCAAAAGTTTTCCAAGTAACTTAGGTTTAATTTTTTCTTATTCCCTATTGTAGTTGACATTCATTTGTAGCATAGTTAATTTGTTACAGTTTTGTATTGTTTTTTAGGTTCCCCCTCCCTTCCTGTTTGATTTTAATTATACTTTGGAGAGTATTTGAAACATTATTGTTGTTCTAAAGAGTCTGAGTATATACAAAAAGATGAATTCAGAGAAAAGTTGCTACCTCCATATGCCTACGAATTGTTTCCATTTTCCCTGGATTTCTATCCTTTTCCAGCTGTGCCTTGTGAACATTTCTAGTTCATTCTTACTATATTTTGCACAGGTAAACAGATGCACTATATTTTTTTTATATTCTCTTCTTCTTACATTGCCTTTTTTTTCCATTTAGTATTGTATCTGGAAATCACTTCAAATAACAGTTTTTATACCTGTGTAGTATTCCACAATTTATTCAATTGCTCTTCTCTGTAGGAGTATTTAGGTTTTATCCCATACTTTGCAGTTATAAACAGCGCTACAGTGAGTAACGTCATGTATATATACTTCTGTTATTGAATATTGGTTAGATTTTTTGCATATTCAGCCACGCTGTATTTCTGAATTAAAGTCAACCTGCACGTTACGTATTAATGTTTTATATAGAATTTTTGCACATTTGATAGTGTGTTAGAATTGCCTATAGAGGGCCTCCCCAGTGGCACAGCAGTTGAGTGCTGGGTTGCAAAGCTGCCCGCAGCCTCTGCGACGCCAGTTCGATCCCCAGCTGCTCCCCGGCCACCAGAGGAGGGTCCCACATGGCGCGCAGACCTCTCCTGCTGCCCGCAGCTCCCCTCAGCAGTGTACTTTGGTCCTTCTGCCTGCTCTGCCTCCCGCTCCCGCTCTGGCTCTGGTGAATTCTCTCACCCTCCCGCGTTTCTGACTGTACCCAGTGCGTGTATAAACAAACAAAACAAATAAATAAATAAATAAATAAAAACATGCCTCTATTAAAAAAAAAAAAAAAAAGAATTGCCTATAGATTATTTTCCTTCATAATTGCCTTGTCAGATTGGTATCAAAGTTAGGCTTGCTTACAGAAGAATTGTGGAGCATTCTTTTTCCGGTTCTATGGAAGATTTTGTATTATATTGGCATTATTTCTTCCATTAATGTTTGGCAGAATTGAAACCTCCAGGGCCTGGATTTGTGTTAATGGGATGATTTTCAATTACTTCTGTTCTCTCTTTTGTCTCCCATGTATTCTAATCACATGCATTTATGCCCTCTTGCCTTCTATGTTACTTGCCTTCTTTCATATTTTCTGTTTTTTTGATTGTCGTCTTTAGTTCTGAGTTTATCTCTCTTCCAACTCCCTACTTATCTCTAATTGATCTACTCTATTAAACTAATCCATTGAGTTCTTAATTTTGCTATTTTTTATTTTAGAAGTATGTTAAATTATTTTAAAAATCTGTGTCATTTACAAAATGATTTCTAAGTCTCTGCCAAAGTTTTCAGTTTTTTATTGACTGTATTAAGCATAGTTACTTTTAATGTGGGTTTGTTCAAATACCTGGAACTCCTATTGATCTGTTTCTGTTGTCATTTTACTCTCATTTATATGTGGTTTTGTGTCCTGGTATATTTGGTGATCTTTACTTATGTGCTAAGCATTGTATGTGAAATACTATTTCTAGCAATAATTCCTGCAGCTAAGATGATACCATCTTTCTACAGAAAAGATTTTCATTTGCTTTTGCTGGCTGGAGGCCTGGAGTCCCTAACAATTTGGGATTGTTTTATCCACTTTGGACGTCATGATTTTTCTGGGCTATCCAGATAGTCATTTGTTTTAACTTTGTTTTATTTTTAATCCCAAGGTGCAGCCCTTTGATGTCCCAACAAAAAAAGAAAGAAGGCAAACATGACCTATTTGCCAGAACCCCAACTGTTGGTGACTTCAGGTCTCCAACTACTTTTATTTTTAATATACTATTTGTTAGAGCAGTTTTGGTTTCATGGAAAAATTGAACAGAAAGTACATAGAGTTCACATATACCCCCGGTCCATGCATAAGGCCAAGGCTTTTAAGTATATTGCTCAATTTTATAATTCCTCTCCTGGAATTTATGTGTCCAGGAGAAAAGCAGTCTAAAACACCAGACTTAACGTTTAGGTGTTTATCTTCTCTTAGATCTTGGCCTGGTAATTCATTAACCAGTTTGTTGTTTTCTGATCTCTTCAAGTAGTGTTTTTCAAATAATTATTCCAGCTTTTCTGGTTGTTCTCAGAGGGAAGGTTTACCTGAACAATGTAAGCCTGCTATTATTGAATACAGTTGTCCCTTTTGCTATAATACTGCCAGTAGAGTACATTTTGGAAGGAATATAAAGGTAAGCCTATTTTGAAAATGGCACAGCTAAAAACTTTTCTATTGGCATAGTGGTTTAAAATTTTTACTTTCAAGCACACAGATATACAGCAGGTCTCTGAATAACATAATGTTAATGTGTTTCATTAAAATATTGACTAGAAAATAATTTTGGTCTACACTCAAAGAAATGATATTATTTGAGAACCCTGCTTTCATTTTACATCATTGAGCTTAGTATCACAATTTCCAAGACCCTATCGATGATGTTAAGTGATAACTTGTTATTGTAGAAATTAAGGTCTTAGTTTTTATAATCTTTTATTCTAGCTCGTGATGCTGATGAGAGAGAGAAGTGGATCCATGCCTTAGAAGAAACAATTCTCCGCCATACTCTTCAACTTCAAGTAAGAATTTTTGCATGACTTCTGGATAGTTCATTAGATTTTTGTTTGTTTGTTTTCTGTTTTTCTTTTTTAATAACTATGATATATGTGAGAATTTAAAATTTCAGAGTTGCTTATTCTTTATAGTATTATTCTTTATAGTATTATGGTTTATGAGAAACCATACTAAACTATACTTGTATATACTTACTGTACTTACTATATTAAGTAAACTTACAGTCACAATCTTTTGCTTTTTTCTATAGGGTAAAATACTAATTTTTGTTTCTAAAAATACGTGTGCAAGGCAGTGTTGAAAGTGAAATTATTTTTTTAAATGAGCCAGATTCAGTTTTTAAATTTAGAATCTATATTGGTTATTGATATAGCCAAATTATATAATAATGCTTGATAATAGATGTGTTGAAAATTTTACCTACTTTTCTTGTTATCAAATTTGGTGATTACCATATGTGTTGGGCAGTACTCTTTGGGATAAAACTGAAAGTAAAAACCCAAGCTGGTTTAAAAAAAAAAAAAAGCAGTGTGACTTAGGTGTGATTTGAAGTAGGCAGTTAAACAATATTGTGAGAACCCAGATAGATCATCTCTATTTCTAGGTTCCAGATCTTCTGAATCGGCTTTGTTTTTAGATAGGTTCTCCCTTTGTGGTGTTGGTAAGGTAGATGCAGCAATTTCAGCCTCTCATTGTATCCATAAGAAGACATTGTTCTTTCTGACCAAATAGAATTTAGTAGGATTAGTACTGATCACATTGGCTTTAGTCATTTCCCCAATCTTGACAGTCACACTTTCACAGTCATATGTTCTACTCTTGTAGAATATTTTACTGACAGCAAAGTCAGAATAGGGGGGGAAAATATGCTGGGTCACAAAAACAACTAAATCTACTCAATCATACTAAAAATATCAAAATTTTTATTTTGATTAGTTTTATTTACAGATTGAATTTTAGAAAACTGATGTTATATAATTCTCTACTTTGTCCTATACTAGGAATTGACTTGATTATACAAGGTGCTGTAGGGCATCCAGGTCCTATAGGATGGTGAGTTACCATCATTTGAAAGTATTCAAATAAAGACTTAAGAAAAACACTATTTAAAGATGTGCTTATTAAGGGTCTATAATAAATAAATAAATAAATAAGCAAGCTGTTGAATTAGGGGACCTCTAAGTTACTCTATGAGCCATGTTTTTTAAAAGCAACTTCATAATTTCTGTAGATTTTTGTTTTTCAATTTAGGCAATTTTATAAATGACTATAGCATCCTATCAGCACATTTGTGATCCAGAAAGAAGATAAATATTGTAAGAATGAAATTAGACTGTAGCAGATGAGGTTCCTTCCACAGTTGGTCAGACTGACATTCAAGTCTCTCTATGATGTATTCTCAGCTTACCATTCTAGACATTATCTGCCAGTATACCCCTGTATAAACCTTCTACTAGAGTGTTGCTTCTTACTTGTTTTCTTCTGAACACATTTTTTTTCTTTTTTCTTATTTTTTTCTTTTTTATATCATTGTTCATTTTTAAACAATATTTTACTTCCCCCCACCCACTCAGGTGTAGTCCCCATAGAGTTTCCTTCACCATTGCATCCATGTACCATCATCTCAGTCTCCTGTGCTTCTCCTTCCCTCCCTCTGATCCCTCTTCCTCCTCCTTCCCTGCAGTATGTCTCTCATTTATAATTGTCTGTTTTTGCTTTGTTGTGTTTTATACTGTTACTATTTTTTTACACTGACGTCTTATTTGGTTCCCCTATATTCCTGCTATAACTGAAACCTTCCGATATTTTTCTTTTTCCTTCTGGCTTATTTCACTGAGCATAATTCCCTCTAGTTCTGTCCATGTTGCTGCGAATGGCATGAGTTTATCTTTTTGATTGCTGAATAATATTCCATTGTGTATATATGCCACATCTTCTTGATCCAGTCCTCTATTTTTGGGCATTTGGGTTGTTTCCAGGTGTTACCTATTGTAAATAGTGTTGCAGTAAACATAGGTGTACAGGTATTCTTTTGAATCAGTGTTTTTATGTCCTTCGGGTAGATCCCTAGTAGTGGAATTGCTGGGTTGTATGGTAGCTCCATTTTTAGTAGACTGAGGAACCTCCAGACAGCTTTCCATAGTGGTTGGACCAGCTTGCACTCCCACCAGAAATGTAGAAGAGTTCCTTTTTCACCACATCCTCACCAACATTTGTTGTTGCTTGTTTTTTTTTTGATATATGCCATTCTTACTGGTGTAAGGTATCTCAATGTGGTTTTAATTTGCATTTCCCTGATTATAAGGGATGTCGAACATTTTTTCATATGCCTGTTGTCCATTTGCATTTCTTCTTTGGAGAAATGTCTTTTAAGTTCTTCTGCCCATTTCGTGACTGGGTTGTTTGTTTTTGTTGCGTCATGTGAGTTCTTTGTACATCTTTGTGATCAGCCCTTTATCAGTTGACTGGAGTGCAAAGATTTTTCCCCAATCAGTGGGGTTTCTCTCTGTTTTGGTTAATGTCTCTTTGAAGTAAGACTATCACTATTTGCAGACGATGTGATAATATACATAGAGAACCCTAAAAGCTCCACAGAAAAACTACTCAAAGTAATCAACCAGTTCAGTAAAGTAGCAGGATAAAAAATCAACACATACAAATAAGTAGCCTTCCTATATGCAAACAATTAATCTGAAGAAGAAGGAATCAAGAAAACCATCCCTTTTATAACTGAAACAAAAAAAATCAAATACTTGGGAATAAACTTAACAAAAGAGATGAAAGACCTATACAAAGAAAATTATAAAACACTGTTAAAAGAAATAGAAGACACAAAGAAATGGAAAGACATCCCCTGCTCATGGATTGGAAGAATTAACGTGATTAAAATGTCCATCCTACCAAAAGTAATATACAGATTCAGCGATATTCCAATAAAAGTCTCAATGAGGGCCTCCCTGGTGGCGCAGTGGTTGAGTGCCAGGCTGCGAAGCTGCCTGCAGCCTCTGCAATGCCAGTTCTATCCCCAGCCACCGGGCAAGGGTCCCACATGGCACTCAAACCTCTCCTGCCGCCCACTGCTACCCTCAGCAGTGTACTTCGTCATTCTGCCTGTTCTGCTCTCCACTCTGGCTCTGGTGAATTCTCTCACCCTCCCACGTTCTGACTGTACCCAGTGCTTGTATAAATAAATAAATAAATCTTTAAAAAAAAATTTCAATAACATTCTTCAAAGAAATAGAACAAATACTGATGAAATTCATATGGAACCACCAAAACCACCAACAGCCAAAGCCCTACTGATGAAAACAAAGGAGAAAGGAAGTATCGCACTTCCAACTTCAAGCTATATTACAAAGCCATAATAATTAAAACAGTTGGTATTGGAACAAAAACAGATAAACAGACCAATGGAACCAAATAGAGAGCCCAGAAATAAAACCACACTTACATGGACAACTGATCTTTGACAAAGGAGCAAAGAACATGCAATGGAATGCAGACAGTTTGTTCAATAAATGGTGCTGGGAAAACTGGACCACCACATGCAAAAAAATGAAACTAGATCACTACCTCTCACTGTGCACAGAAATCAACTCAAAATGGATAAAAGAACTAGACATAAGACGTGAAACCATAAAATATATAGAAGAAAATACAGGTAAAACATTACAAGACATACATCACAATAACATCTTTAAAGACTTATCACCCAAAGCAAAGAAAGTCAAGGAAAAGATAAACATCTGGGATTACATTAAACTGAACACATTTTTTTGCATTTCTGGTATCCACATTCCTAAGCATGATGTTCTCTCTCTCTGATATCCCACTATCTCCACTCTGCTTTTGCATACTAAACCTTTTCTTCAAAGCCCAGTTCAGAACTGACCTATTTGGTGGAGCCTTCCTTGACGGGCTCTTGTAGGTTCCATACCTCAAACTCAAAGTGATAGCTTTTCTTTGAGTGTTATACTCTTTGTATAACATGCTATGTTCTTGCCATATTCTTGTATATCCTTTTTAAATTTTTTTAATTTTTATTTTGTGTGTATATTTCTTTTCACAATTTTATTTTATGTATTTTTTACATAATTTTTCAATTTTGCACAATGTATGCATTTTCATCTTGGTTATAGTCCCCATACAATTCCCACCCCCCCTTATTTTGACCGTAATCCCTCCCCCCCCATAGTGTGTCTCTGGTTTATAGTTGCTTGTTGATTTTGATTTTTACTTTATTGTAATTAGTCTTTTCCTGGTCCCTTATTCAGGTTTTCTAAATTCCTGCTATGAGTGAGACCATCCAGTATTTTTCTTTTTCTTTCTGGCTTATTTCACTGAGCATGATCTCTTCCAGCTTCATCCACGTTGCTGCAAATTGCATGAGTTTATCTTTTTTGATTGCTTTGTAATATTCCATTGTATATATATACCACATCTTCTTGATCCAGTCATCTATTTTTGGGCCATTTGGGTTGTTTCCATAGCTTAGCTATTGTAAATCATTCAAGACCTAGTACACTTACTTCTTCATTCCATTTTTTGATGGAATCCTCTGTGGTATTTATTTATACTAGAGCTGGGGTACAGGCCAGAGGCATGGGAGGGTGAACAAATTCACCAGAGACGTAGCGGGGAGCAGAACATGCAGATGTACTGAAAACACTGCTGAGGGGCGCAGCAGGCGAAACAGGAGAGGTCTGCTGAGCCATGTGGGTCTCTCCCTGGCCGGCCAGGAATTGAACCTGCACTGCAGATGCTGTGGACAGCTTCACGGTGCTGCCCTCAACCTGCTGTGCCACCAGGGAGGCCCTCTTGTATATCCTTTAAACTTGTATATCCTGTAACTCTCATGCCCCCAATAAGGATACAAACACCTGAAGATTGGGGTACCTAATCTGATCTAATTTTCAGTACTTAGCTTTGCATTCTACATTGTTTTGATTTGGATTGTGTCAAATAGATGTCTCCCAGGAGCTCATCCTCAATATATTAAAACTAG